TCAAGCAGTTCAAACCTATGTTGTTCAAGGTGCAGCTATAATCTAAAATTAATTAGGCCACTGAATGGAGATCACTGAGTTAGCCAGACTTCTGCAAATTAAATAGTAATGTAAACATAATACAGCAGAGAAGAGCACAAGGGCCCTAAATTTCCAGTCCAAAGGCCTGGGTGAAAATCTCAGCAACTCACGATCCACTGGAGAGATTATAAATATTAAACAATATGAAGTACTAAACAAGACTTGCAGACTATAAAGCACTATATATTCATATACACATGAAGGAAACTAAACAGTAGTTTCTTCTTGCAGGTATAGAAAGAATATTACCTTCCCTTGGGATTAATGTAATTTGATACTTCACTTTGGAATAAAAAAAGAAAAATTCTCTTTTTCTGGTTATACAAACAGGATAAAAAAGTTAATTACAAAAGGCAGTATTTTAACCTATATTACACTCACTTGGAAGACTAAACAACATGAAAATGGACTAGGACTTGAATATATTTTTACATTTAAAATCAAATATCAAGTATATTTCTATAGAAAAAATTAAATTGACTTCCTGGCTCACACGCTGATATAACATTTTTCAGGATGCTAAAGTGATTTTATATTTAAATATTTAATTTCTAATTTCAATTAGCAAAATATTCTAACATAAAAGGTATGAAATCGCCACAGATATTATGTTATAAAGGAATAGGACCAAAAACATACTGTCTATTGTCCAGAGGTAGCTTGCTTTTAAAAAGTATACCTGGAAGAAGCTTAGAAGTAGTATATCATCCTAACTACAAGTAAAATGCTGGACAAACTGAAAAATCAACAACTCTTCTTAAATCTGAAAGAGAAGAGAAGCCAGAGGGCAAACTGCAACCCCAAACTGGAAAGACAGATAGATGGATACAGAGGATCAAACGTTATTAGAGCAGAAACCCATAAGCAGAAACCTCTGCAGCAACCATCGCCAGGGTAGGAATATCTGAACAGTAACTGACAAAATGCCGGAGGCTGGGAGTGGACAACTCGGGAGTTAAAACAGGGAGACCTAGTCATTCAGGGAGTCCACGCATTTGTGAGTTTTTCCAACAACAGCTCACCCTGGCTCTGGGTGACCTCTTTAGAGAAAACCCCTTCGTGCTTCGGGAAGGAGACGGGGAAAGGAATCATCGGGGAACACAAGAGCAGCGGCCCCCAGCCTTTCTGGCACCAGGGCCCAGTTTCGTGGAAGACAAGTTTTCCACGGATCACAGGGCGGGGGGAGGGGGGAGGAGTTTGGGGATTCAAATGCATTACATTTACTGTGCATTTTATCTCTATTATTACACAGCTCCACCTCAGATCATCAGGCATTAGAGCCCAGAGGTTGGGGACCCCTGCCTACAGCACTCTGTTCTTATCAAGGTACGGCCTCAGGAGAAACCAGAGCCCAGCTCACCCTGGAGGTAAGTTTTACGGCAGCCTGACCTATATAGTGTAGTGGCAGTGTTAGTGGCTCAGTCGTGTCTGACTCTCTGCGACCCCACCGACTCTAGGCCACCAGGCTCTTCTGTCCATGAGATTCTCCAGGCAAGAACACTGGAGTGGGTGGCCATTCCCTTCTCCAGGGGATCTTCCCAACCCAGGGACTGAACCTGGGTCTCCTGCATTGCAGATAGATTCTTTACCATTTGAGCTACAGGGAAAATTTTTAGAGATCCTATATGGGGAAACCAAAAATACCCAATTCCAGCCCACTCTATGACACCCTCTCCCACCTGAGGAGAGGGAAGGACTGAGAAGCAACTGGTGCAGTTCACAGTCCAGAGGCACTGGTTAACTATTAAACAAGAAACTGAGACCTACTCATAGGCCCACAAAACGCTTCCCCTCTCTGCTACCTTACCATCACATTACTAAAGGCCTATTTGCAGCAGTTCCTTTTACCTAGTACTTTATGTCTAGCAATCAAGTAAAAATCACAAGACATAACAAAAATGCAAAAACACACAGCTTGAAAATATAGAGCAAGCATCAGAATCACAGTCAGATCAGATTAGGATGTTGGAATTACCATCAGGAACGTAATATGCTATGGGTTCTAATGGATAAACTAGACAGTATGCAAGAACAGATTAGCAATGTAAACAGAGATGTAAATTCTTAGAACCAAACAAATTAATTTTAGTTTTATGGTTCCAAATATGAGAGAAAAGGCTAGTGTGTGTATCTCCAAGAAGAGCAACTAGAATAGTAGGATAAAATGGAAAAAAAAATCTGCTTAAATCCACTGAAGAGCTCCTGAAACATCCAGGAATAGAGTCCATGGTTCTGGAGTGGAAGAGAACTACAGAAATGTAAGCTGACATTCTATAGCTTCAATTCATTTTTGCTGAATACAAGACAATAAGCTGAAAATTCAGATTCTGCCTGCACAGAATGCTGCTGTGAGGGAAAAGACAAACCAACAAAGCATTTAGCAGATTCACATGTTGAGTAATGAGAAGTGAGAGGCATAATAATGGCCCAAACATGCAGCCAACTCTTCTCTCAAGGCATGTACCAAATACAGACACTAGAAAGATAGAAGAGCCTCTGAAAGCAGAAAAGGCTTTTCCAGTGTTCCCTAATGGGAAAAGGATTAGAACGACAATTCTCAAACTTTTGGCCTCAGCACTTCTTTATTATTGAGCATCACAAGGAACTTTTGATTATGTGGGTTGTAGCTCTTGCTTTACCAAATGAGAAACTAAAATTGAGAAATAGTTAAAGCATTTAACTAATTTTTAGATAAATTTCTTACAATAAAATAACACTTTCATGAAAACTGGAGGAGTGGAAGAAGCAAAAAGAGTAGCATTACTTTATATTTTTTGCAAACCTCTTTAATGTCAGGCTTAATAGACTATAGCTCAGCTCGGCCCCTGACTTATCCTCTAACTGACAAGCAAGGCAAAGGTGAACTTCTTCTGAAACAACTGGCCAACCTCAGAAGCCTCCACAATTGTTTATTCACCACAACCAGATTCAGTCAAGTCATGTTAAGTATACCAATAGCTGCACTATATGATTAAAAACAAAGAGAAAATGTGAACAATACAAAACAGGTTCACAGAGCATTCTATATACTGAAGTATGCACACACAGACATTAACAAAATTTCATAAGAGAATGAAATCTTTAAAAAATTTCTAGTACACATGGCAAAAGTGAAAGAAACTACTGAAACTAAGAATACATGAGTTTATACTTGGATAAATTCCTAGAAACATACAACCTGCCAAGTATGAATCATAAGGAAATAGAAAATCTGAACATATCGTTTACTAGTAAGGAGAGTGAATTAGTAATCAAAAACTTCCCCAAAACAAAAATCCAGGGCCTCATGGCCTCATTGGTAAAATCACCAAACATTTAAAGAAGAATTAATAACAATCTTTCTCAAACTCTTCCAAAAACACAGAAGAGAAGGGAACACTTCCAAACTCATTTTATGAGGCCAGCATTACCCTGATACCAACACCAGATAAGTGCACTACAAAAAAAGAAAATTAACGGCCACTGTTCCTAATGAACATAGAGGCAAAAACCAATAAAACATTAGCAAACCAAATTCAACAACACATGAAAAGGATAACAAGGAAAAGAGCAGCAGAAACTCTTCTGTTCATGCTGGGACCCTTTTATTCCTCTCCAACCTACATCTTAGAGGGAGCCTCTGTCATTCCTTGACAACCAACCTGTCATTTTCCATTAGATCCAAAGATTCCTTCCTTCCTTCCTTCCCCCCACATATTTTTTTCCCTTCATTCAATTTCTAACCAATTTAGTTTTCTGTTGAACGACACTTTTCTCTCCAAATTCCCTAATCTTCCCCATTTCCTTTTCGGTTTCCATGTTTTCATTTCTGATCCCATTTGGCAAGACTGGGAGGGGTAGAGGCGGGTGGGCGGGGGGTGGGACGGTAATACACATTCTGGATAATCAAAGACATTTTTTGTTGAAAAGGAAAATAAAAAGTTAAACAACTGAATGTGGCCCTCTAATTTCTCTAATACATCGTCTGCACATACACGCTCCATGTGCATGAGAGCTGAAAAAGGTTTGTCATTCATAAACGAGTTTACTCAAATAAAAGAAAGCTGATCAGCAACTGAATGCATGGACTCGTCTAAGGCTAGCCTCTAAATCAGCATTTCCCAGTGTTTGTTTTCTAAAGCAATAACCCAACAAGACACTCCAAATGCAGACACATATGGTTTCACAGTTATACCACAAATCACACGAAGCTCTTAACGAAACCTAAGAGATTTGGAAATAAAGAGACTTGTTTAGTTTTATTATCCCATTTAACTTCCCAAACTGAAGCTAATGAGCACTTTTTCTACAACACTTAGTAATATCCCACAGGACACGCATTTAGGAAATGTTTATCCTAAACCATTCATTAAAATATATCATGCAAAATAGTATACTTAATCTTACAGTCTAAATGGTTTTAAAATGTCACTGCCTTTTGAAAAACCAAAAATGAATTTAAACAGGAAATAATTACCAAGTTGCTAGGTGAAGTGACTCACTTTAAATATTACATGTATATTTACCTTAGCTAGGTGACCCAGATCCATTTAAAAATTAGGATTAATCACCACTTGTGACTCTTTTTTTTTTTTGAAGACGAAAATAGGAGTAAAATGTTCTTATGGAAAAGAATCTTTTACAAATATTAAGACTTAAGTTTGTTCTCATTTTTCCCCACATTCATTTTCATGTTTGGTCTTTTTTCTCAAGTGGGAGAAATGAATGGGATATTGTTAGTTACAAGGTCGAATGAATATACAGCAAGTTAGAGATGGACTTAATACACAGAGATGTTACATACAGACTTTTCTGAAGGTATACTGTATAATAATAAAAAGCTTAAAACATGAACATATGGCACCTTTACCTTTAAGGTATACTACAAATTATTTACTTCACAGGTTTAAAGAGCATATTTTAAAGTACACACATTTTACCTGAAAGCTCCGTAAAGTGGTCTGTACCAACAGACAAATGAACAAGGAGTAAAAAGTAAGAACCACAGGATACTCAATCCAAAATCAACACCTCTTGGAGGATCAACACAAAACCAAGCCAAGCATCCGAAGATATTTAGAAACAGTGTTACAGCATGGACTGTGGAATTAAAAAACAAAACAGAAATGTTTACATTCAATGTATATGTTCATTCAACAGAAATTAAAATCAAAAAAACACTTCCTAAAAGCACATACAGTCTACCCCATTTCCATTTAGTATTTTTCAAAACACTGCTGTTTTTCACATGTTTGATGTGAAAACAGAGTACTGACAGGAAAAGGAGTTCTAATACACGCACTGTTTGGCAAACATTCTCTCGGCCCTCCCCTAACGGGCAGCTACACAGCTAAACCAGAGAAGCAGAGCCTTGAGGGCTGCTTCCCCAAGAAGGGGACATGCGATGTGTCTCCTGATCCAAGACCCAAGCAGAAAAGTAGCGGCTTCCAGAAAAAGAGCCAGGACTCCAGAGGGGAAAGATCCTGCACTTAGAGCTATAATTTTTATAGAATAGGGCTGCAGGCTCCTCCCAGCATGAATTACACAAGAGAATACTAGAGAAGTGCCCTGTGCAATCTCACTGTAACATTTTTAAGCAATAAAATTAATTGGAATGACTGGACTGAAACTACTAAAACAGTAGAAACTTCCAATGACTAAACAGTCAAGCTATAAGGATTATTAACTCATTTTCATAAAGTTGCCCGTTTTTAAAAGTCCTGGCATTAAAAACAGTGTTTTGGTAGGGAATTACATTTATTTTAAAAAAAATAAAGTTTACCATGATGCACTTTACCTACTTTAGCAGATCTTTCTTTTTGTTAATGCAAATAGATCTTGGCAAACTCTTCCTATGATCTAATAATTACTTTGCCTGCAGACCAAATCCAAAAATCTGAGTAACATCTAAGAACACTATTATCCTAAAGAACACTGACCCATTATAATTAGTAACTTTTTTAAAGGATTTTTTTAAAAATTTATTCACAGGCTCAATTTGTTATAAGAAATAAATCATTTTAAAAGTTAAAGTACTGTTTAATGTAAATTATCAGTACAGTAAAAATGTCAACAAACTACTACCTTAATTAAAAACAACAAATGGAAAACCTAGAGAGTATAAATTTTAAAAATACATTTTCAACAAACATTAAAAAAAAACTTTAAAATTTCTTTAAATTATTAATCAAAAAATTGATACTTAATGAAGTAAGATATAAACACATTCCAGGGTGCCTCTAAATTTGCCTTTATCTAACAACCAGATAAATACACAAATGCTAGGAAAGGAGAGCGAGCCCCAGAGGAAGAATGAAAATACATGGGTTCGAGTGACATATACTGAGCTAATAAGCAACCTCAGTGCATTTCAGGTTTTCAACTAGAGAAGGGCACAAGCCCTTGCAGCTTTAAAATCCCATCCCATTCTACCACACAGGAAAGACTCTTACTTATTCCCACTAGGATTCCTAAGTCATGAAAGCTAGCTTATAATAAATTTACTCAAAATCCTTGGCCTCAAAATAAAAGTAGTTCTGTTAAGGGCTTAAAAATGGAATTTGAGATATTGTGTCATATTATTCTATAATATTAAATGGAATCCAACTGCCTAAAACCATTATAAATGTTCAGAACATTAAGCCAAATTTCAACCTCTAAAAAGTAACTATTTAAGAAGTAACTATTAAGAAGTAACTATTTAAGTAACTATTTATCCCCTAATCTGTTTAAGAAAAAAAGACAGAATATACAGGTATATGTATTTTAAAGCTCACAAAAATTCTTTCAAGAATAGATTAAAATATCAATTACATTTTGTGTAATCTATTAAAATTTTTTCTATATGTTTTCATAGTAACCAGCAACTATGATCAGTAAGTCATTCATTTGTATCCCAATGAAGAGTAAAATATGTAAGTTTACTTACTAAACAATCAGTCCTCATACACAGAGACCAAAAAAAACAGAAGGTCTAGGTAAAGTGAAATGTGCAATTCTATGTTGATAATTTCAATCCAACTTCAGTCCACTTGATGGATTCCGATTATGGGTAAAATACTTAAGAAAATTATAGGCCATTTTGTTTATATGATTCCCAAGTTGAATGATCCTCCTTCTTATAAAATTTCAATTTGCTTTATTAAGCACTCAAATCTGGTATTAGTGGACCTAAATTTGCAACCATCATTGGAATATTCTTCTTGCTAAGTCCTGCATTACAATATAGATACCTAAAATAAATAATTTTAGGACAATATATTATCTTCTTCAATAAATGGTCTTTAATGTAGCTGATATTTTTAAATTTTCTTTTTCTTTCCTTCTTTAAATTCAAGAGTATAGTCAAAAAGATGTTGAGATTCATTTCATATTGGTATTTCTAATTGCTTCAGTTCCTTTATAGAGATTACTTGTCTCAAGAAAAGTACCACTGAAAGCATATCTTCATCATATTTGAGTTTAAAATGTAAATTACTTCTTTATTTTGGTACCTTGTAGGTGGCATAACATGGAAATCTAAACTCTGGGATCTAGAATCAAGCCATCCGACTCCAACCTTACTTGCTGAGTAATCTTGGACAAGTTAGCTCAGATTCTCTAAGCTTTAGTTTCTCAAACTATAAAGCTAGATAATATAGTACCTGCTTCATAGTGTGGTTAAGATTTAATAATGTAATATATATACAGTGATTAGCTCTGTGCTTCACACAAAGTAAATCCTGGATAAATGTTATCTCTTGTTAGAATTATTATTACAGTGTGATAATTTTCACACTGTATTATTACAGTGTGATAATATTCTCCAGGCCAGAATACTGGAGTGGGTAGCCTTTTCCTTCTCCCGGGGATCTTCCCAACCCAGGGATCAAACTCACATCTCCTGCATTGCAAGCGGATTCTTTACCAGCTGAGCCTCAAAGGAAGCCCAAGAATAATGGAGAGGGTAGCCTATTCCTTCTCCAGCAGATCTTCCCAACCCAGGAATTGAACCAGGATCTCCTGCATTGCAGGCAAATTCTTTACCAACTAAGCTATCAGGGAAGCCCATTACAGTGTGAAAGCATTAGTCAACTCCAAAATCAGTAAGAAGATGATACTTCTTGAAAATAACTTCCTAAAACAGCCTATATCTTATGAAATTGAGAGACATTACTAAGCTAGATTAGATCGTACTTTGTTGCAGATCATGTTTTTTCAAATCAGAACTTTAACTGGATGGAATCTTAAGCTCTCTTTGAATACAGATCTGCCAACTGAACAGGGTTGGGAAAAACTATAGCCAACTATGTTATTTGTAAGACCCTCAGAAAGTTATATGTAACTAGGACAAAACAGACTTATTTTGAAACAATCAGCACTGGTAAAGCAGTTAACTATTTGGTTAAAATTCATCATCTTCCCCATTCAATCTATATTTACCAAATTCCCTATAGAATTTTCTTCCAACACCCATCTCCCCTATCTAAAATATATCTTTTCACTAATAAGTCAAAGAACTTATACTTAAAATGCTAGGCCAATTTCTGCCCATTAAGAATTATTTTGTGCTGTGCTTAGTCGCTCAGTTGCATCTGACTCTGCGACCCCATGCACTGTAGCCCGCCAGGCTCATGGGGATTCTCCAGGCAAGAATACTGGAGTGGGTTGCCATGCCCTCCTCCAGGAAATCTTCCCAACCCAGGGATCAAGCCCAGGTCTCCCCCATTGCAAACGGATTCTTTACCATCTGAGCCACCAGGGAAGCCCAATTATTTTAATCTGCATTTATTTAATGATATATTGATTAAATAAGAGTTGTTAGTATGGAAAGATATGGAATCAAAACCTTTAATAAAAATATGCAATACTACTGACACTCAGGATTAACCAAATAAGTCAGATTGATAACATAATCTCAAACTAAAAATAAAGAGTTAAACATGTACTATCCATAAGGAACCACTTCTCACATTCCAAAGCAACCTCGCAATGCTGTTGAAAGATTTTTAAGACAATGATCTCAGGTATTTGATGGAGAGAGGTTCCTTTTTTTTGGGGGGGTGGGGGGAGAGAGGCTCCTTAATCACACAGGAAGAACACACAGATGTTCTTCAACAAGAATGGACTCCACAACGGATTCATTAACTCAGCAGTGGTGCAGGCAAGAAGCCACGGCAACTACCTCTCCTACCAACTCAACGAGGTTAAATGGGGCTGAGACTGCCGTTTGGAATAAAAATCAAACAGTAAGTGGGGATTCTGTGTACATCCAAAAACTGGTAACAGCTTGACATTTAGTTTTCATATTCCATGTGCTGTAATTATATCCAAAGTATTGTGAACATCACAGCCTAAAATGTATGTCTTAATGTGCTATTTAATGAAATATCCTGTATTAATTCAGCACTTTCAATAATAAAAGTGTTCCTCTCCACCTGAAAGTGAACAGTAAACAGTGCTCAAAGTGAAATAATTTATAATATTTCAAAATTATATGCCCTTTTATAAGATAGTCATAATGCTTTACAGCTTTCATTTGCATAAAATACTATGAATAATTATTTTAAAGGATTATTACCTAGATAAGATTTTTCAGAGAAAAAGGATCATTGCAAAATTCCACCATATGACAGGGAAGTCCCTTCCTCAAAAGAATGCCAGTTCTCAGTATATAGACCTTCCTCAGATAAGAACTTAGACCACCACATAGTGCACAATTTTGAAGTAACTAAACATATGTGTCACTCAAATTTAAAATATCTATAGGAAAGGACCAATTAATGATGCTACCTTAATATATGAGTTTTTTAATAGTAGATTTTTGACAATAAAATATAAACACTTTCAAACAAATATATAATTTATATTTATTCTATACTCACACATCCATAAGTAGTACATAATCTTTACTGTTTTTTGGAATTCTACAGGGATATCTACAGAAAAATCCTGATAAAAACAAGGGCCCACAGGGAAATTGTCAGGAAGAGGTGGCCAATTGTTTTTTCTGCCTGCAAATAAAAAAAAAGAAGTTATTTATATAAGTACAAATATAAGTACAAATATTGCTATTCTTTTTGCATGTAATTATTTGTTTCATAATAAAGAATATTATCTATTCTTTTAATAGGAGTTTAAAAATATAACACTGTAAAATCTACATTCCTACAACTCTGAAAACCAAGCTTTCTATTTTTAAAATTTTTTCCAGAATATCAATTAGATGGTAAAATAATTTTCCAGTGTAATACCACTTATGTAAGTTGAAACAAGAAAAGAAAAAAAGGGCATAGGGACATATGCTGTGACTCTTCCCTAAAAAGAGAGTTATTTCAAAGTCCTAAGACTCTGGCTCTCACATGAAACCCATGCAGATTTTAAGTCTCTACCATTTCCTCCTCAGTATCTACGATCTTTAAATATAATTCCTAACCCACAGAGAGGCAAAATCTGCTTTTCAACTTTTGAGTTTTCTTCTGCTTTCTCATTTTACATATCATATCCCACACTTTCATAAATTAGATTTTACATACTTTTTCATAGTTCAGTCACTCAGTCGTGTATGACTCTTTGCGACCCCAAGAATCACAGCATGCCAGGCCTCCCTGTCCATCACCACCTCCCGGAGTCTACCCAAAGCCATGTCCATCGAGTTGGTGATGCCATCCAGTCATCTCATCCTCTGTCGTCCCCTTCTCCTCCTGCCCCCAATCCTTCCCAGCATCAGGGTCTTTTCCAATGAGTCAACTCTTCGTTTCAGCTTCACCATCAGTCCTTCCAATGAACACCCAGGACTGATTTCCTTTAGGATGGACTGGTTGGATCTCCTTGCAGTCCAAGGGACTCTCAAGAGTCTTCAACACCACAGTTCAAAAGCATCAATTCTTCGGCGCTCAGCTTTCTTCACAGTCCAACTCTCACATCCATACATGACCACTGGAAAATCCATAGCCTTGACTAGATGGACCTTTGTTGGCAAAGTAATGTCTCTGCTTTTTAATATGCTGCCTAGGTTGGTCATAACTTTCCTTCCAAGGAGTAAGCATCTTTTAATTTCATGGCTGCAATCATCATCTGCAGTGATTTTGGAGCCCCCAAAAATAGTCTGACACTGTTTCCACTGTTTCCCCATCTATTTCCCATGAAGTGATGGGACCAGATGCCATGATCTTAGTTTTCTAAATGTTGAGCTTTAAGCCAACTTTTTCACTCTCCTCCTTCACCTTCATCAAGAGGCTTTTTAGTTCCTCTTCACTTTCTGCCATAAGGGTGGTGTCATCTGCGTATCTGAGGTTGTTGATATTTCTCCCAGCAATCTTGATTGCAGCTTGTGCTTCATCCAGCCCAGCGTTTCTCATGATGTACTCTGCTAAGTTAAATAAGCAGGGTGACAATGTACAGCATTGACGTACTCCTTTTCCTATTTGGAACCAGTCTGTTGTTCCATGTCTAGTTCTAACTGTTGCTTCCTGACCTGCATATAGGTTTCCCAAGAGACAGGTCAGATGGTCTGGTATTCCCATCTCTTTAAGAATTTTCCACAGTTTATTGTGATGCACACAGTCAAAGGCTTTGGCATAGTCAATAAAGCAGAAATAGATGTTTTTCTGGAACTCTCTTGCTTTTTCTTGCCTGGAGAATCCCATGGATGGAGGAGCCTGGTGGGCTACAGTCCACGGGGTCGCAAAGAGTCAGACACGACTGAGCGACTTAACTAACTAACTTGCTTTTTCGATGATCCAGCAGATGTTGGCAATTTGATCTCTGGTTCCTCTGCCTTTTCTAAAACCAGCTTGAACATCTGGAAGTTCACGGTTCATATATTGCTGAAGCCTGGCTTGGAGAATTTTGAGCATTACTTTACTAGCTTGTGAGATGAGTGCAATTGAGCATTCTTTGGCATTGCCTTTCTTTGGGACTGGAATGAAAACTGACCTTTTCCAGTCTTATAGCCACTGCTGAGTTTTCCAAATTTGCTGGCATATTGAGTGCAGCACTTTCACAGCATCATTATCTTTTTCACAGATCGGGAAAATTTCCATAGTGGAAAAAAAAGCATCCTCTATTTCTGATTCTTCCCAACATGTCTCCGCTGTTTTATCACTCCTTTCAAACTTTATATAGTTCACACATCTCTCATACAAGTCTCATACTACTTGAGAAGCTGGGAACAGTAGTAAAGAACAGAGGCTCTGAAACTAGAAGCACCTACACATCTACTGTCTAGGAGACCTTGAACAAAGTATTCAACTTCCTGAAGACTCTGCTTCCACACTTGAAAAGTGAGAACAACTCGCCACCCTCCCCATAATTGTGCCGAGGATGAAATGAGCTGACAGATGAAAAGCACTTAAATGTGTGGCACACAGCAGGTCCCCTAACTTCTCACACTGCTTTACTATTTTGTTTACTAACATCTCTCATAGAAGCAATCTGTATTAGTCAAAGTTAAGGGAACAGGACAGATTTTTGTTACATGAATTTCAGAAACACTGATCTCAATTAAACTTTTAGTTCCTCCTTTCACAGATGCTATCTCTGATGCTACAAGCGAGAAATGGCCCCAGGATAAATGTGTCCTCATGACGCCCTTGTTGTTGATCAGTCGCTCAGTCATGTCCAACTCTGCAACTCCATGGGCTGTGGCATGCCAGGCTTCACTGTCCTTCGCCATCTCCCAGATCTTGTTCAAACTCATGTCCATTGAGTCAGTGATGCCATCCAACCATCTCGTCCTCTGCCGTCCCCTTCTGCTGCCTTCCATCTTTCCCAGCATCAGGGTCTTTTCTAAAGAGACAGCTCTCCACATCAGGTGTATCGAGCTTTAGCATCAGTCCTTCCAAGGAATATTCAGGGTTGATTTCCTTTAGGATTAACTGGTTGGATCTCCTTGCAGTCCAAGGGATTCTCAAGAGTCTCCACAGTTTAAAAGCATCAATTCTTCAGTGTTCAGCCTTCTTTATAGTCCAACTCTCACATCCATGCACGACTACTGGAAAAACCATAGCTTTGACTAGACAGACCTTTGTTGGCAAAGGAATGTCTCTGCTTTTTAATTGTCATAGCTTTTTTATTTTTATTTCCATTTATTTTCAATAGTTGGAGGCTAATTACTTTACAACATTGCAGTGGTTTTTGTCATACATTGAAATGAATTAGCCATGGATTTGCATGTATTCCCCATCCCGGTCCCCCCTCCCACCTCCCTCTCCACCCGATCCCTCTGGGTCTTCCCAGTGCACCAGGCCCGAGCACTTGTCTCATGCACCCAACCTGGGCTGGTGATCTGTTTCACCCTGGATAATATACGTGTTTCGATGCTGTTCTCTTGAAACATCCCACCCTCGCCTTCTCCCAGAGTCCACAAGTCTGTTCTATACATCGGAGTCTCTTTTTCTGTTTTGCATATAGGGTTATTGTTACCATCTTTCTAAATTCCATATATATGTGTTAGTATACTGTAATGGTCTTTATCTTTCTGGCTTACTTCACTCTGTATAATGGGCTCCAGTTTCATCCATCTCATTAGAACTGATGCAAATGAATTCTTTTTAATGGCTGAGTATATATATAATATTCCATGGTGTATATGTACCACAGCTTCCTCATCCATTCATCTGCTGATGGGCATCTAGGTTGCTTCCATGTCCTGGCTATTATAAACAGTGCTGCGATGAACATTGGGGTGCACGTGTCTCTTTCAGATCTGGTTTCCTCGGTGTGTATGCCCAGAAGTGGAATTGCTGGGTCATATGGCAGTTCTACTTCTAGCTTTTTAAGAAATCTCCACACTGTTTTCCATAGCAGCTGTACTAATTTGCATTCCCACCAACAGTGTAAGAGGGTTCCCTGTCATAGCTTTTTTAGTATGAAAAGGCAAAAAGATATGACATGAGGCCCTAGACTTACATATTCTAAGATTAAAAAACAAAAACAGGCAGTACATCATCACTCTCCTAACATTGTCATGCCATAACTATCCAGACTTATTCATAGTACTTTGCCTAGCTCTCTCATCCCTTCGTATCCAGAGAATTTCTAGCTCTCCCTAAGCTATTCCTTTGAACTGACTGATCTTTGGCAGTCACAGCCTGTATGGATTTCACATCAAATAGTTAATTCACCTCTTACTTATTTCTTTGTTGTTGTTGTGTCTGCTAAGTTGTGTCTGACTCATTTGAGACCTGATGAACTGTAGCCCACCAGGCTCCTCTGTCCATGGGATTTTCCAGGCAATAATACTGGAGTGGGTTGCCATTTTCTTCTCCAGGGGATCTTCCTGACCCAGGAATCAAATCCACATCTCCTGCATTGGCACACGGATTCTTTACCACTGAACCACCAGGAAGTTACTTATTTGGCACCATCAAAATACCCAGGCTTCCTAGAGTTACCATAGGTGTTATTTTTTTAAACTTGGTTTGACATATATAGATATACTTGTGAGGATATGGGCAGATTAACTTGAAATTGGTCTGAATAAATCAGAAGTTAACAGCTAAATGCAGTCAAACATAGGGTATACTCGGATGTACTCACAAAGCTTCAGCAGACCCAGCTGAAGGTCCAAGTGTAGAATGAAAGGCTCCTGATTTACAATAAAGTAAAACCATATTTTCATTCACTTGTGAAGAGTCAAACACTGTTCTAATCTATTAAAACACTGCAAATCAGCCAAGATCAGAGAACTACAGAGTATCAAGCAGGAAATCTGCCATGTCTGATCTCCTTGACAGAATAACAGGGTCGAGTTTTATCTATAAACCAAATGACCTAGAGCTGATGCAGGCCTGTTTTAAAGAGGTTAAGTTATTTTTATTTCAAACATCTTTGGATACTACCATGTTGACTGAGGTTTTGCATTTCTCGTTCTCGACGATCTAACTCTGCTGCTTTTCTTTCTAGTTCTTCCTGGCGCTTAAGAAGTTCAGCTTGGGCCAAGGCATGTTCCTACACAGAAAATAAGGGAACAGGTTGTCAGAAGTAGAAAGTACAGTAATATTTCTGCTTCTACTATCCTCCTACTTCTCTACTATGCTAGAAACTTAAGTAGAAACTTAATTCAACTACTATTCCACAGTATAGGAATTCACTGAAGATTACAGTTTCAGAGAATATTATGGAACTATTTGGCCCATTTTGGCCTTCTGGTTATGAAAACCCTCAATAGGAATGTTGGGCCCACTAGGACAAGAAAAAATTCTCTCAGTAAGAGTAGTTAAAATCCTAAGGTAATTGGGAAAATGAAATTAAGGGGAACCGTGGCTAAATGAGAATGAGGGGCAGAGACGAGAACAGTTGAGGAAAAGAGACAAATGGAGAAAAGGGCAATTGAATTAGTTCTTACAAATTGGATTAAATGGTACCTAAGGTTCCCAGTGCAAGAATACTGTATAATACCTTATATTTTACAAGATAATAAGGTAAAAGAAAGATATAGTTAAGAAATTCGGGTTTATAACTCCATCTGCCTTTATGTAATACCAGGCATCTTATTCATCTCCTTTCTTCTTGGTATTTTTTTGCCACCTTCTATTTCCTACCAATATACTTTGCTTAGCCATCCTAACTCTCTTCCAATAATATCTATCTGATCTTATCATTGTTACTATAATGGAATTGTGTATTAAAAAGTGAGACCAAAAGCAATAAAAATTTCACTACACAAGTTATATACCAAGATGATAGGAATTCAATAACTGCTAATAATGGAGCAAAGCAAATCAATACTTTGAAAATGAGGTATGAGTATTATAGGGCTGAGAAACTACTAACCCAGCTTCAAAAGTGAGTTAAAAATTAAACAAGAAGGATAAATCAACTATACTCCAATAAAATTAAGTAATAAGGAATACTATATAAAGAAGTAGTTTGCTCTGAAAGCAAATGTTATTGATATTGCAGTTTTCCATATGAACTTACACATGTAACATGAACTAACCTTTGCAATCTGTGTATAAGCTGGATGTTCCTCTGTTGGTTTCATTATTGCTGGCTGTGTACTGGGTACGTTAGGCATTTTCACATTACCTGGTGGAGGCTAGGAAGATTAAGAAAAGAGCAAATTACATAACATAGAAACCTACCTTCAACTTCTTTCAAAAAGTATATCAATAAAAACCAAAATGCCAAGAACTGCCTCACTTCCTCTCCTAACTTCTCATAATCAAGTGTGTGGCAATGAGCTCTACTTTAAGAGTTTCATCTCCATTTTCTCAGACTTGTTCATTTCTTAACTCTTCAGTTTGGCTGCTACTTCCAGCACTACACCATTGGCAGTCTCCTCCAGAACACTGTTCATTAAAAACAAAATGAAAACAAAAAAACCTGCAAGTTATGTCTTTTTAATAAAATACAGATAGCACCAAACTGAAGAATTTATACCAAGGTTAACGGTTCACTAGGTTAACTGTCCACTCTTTCCATCTAACAAAGTTATGTGCCAGTGACCCTAAAAAGTAAATAGGAACAGTCTTGGCAGAACACCAGTAATACTCCTTGAAAAGAATAAAAGGGAAGACATTAGGGAGATGGAAAATAAACTGCACAGCTCCACTCTGCCAATGAGGATCAACAGTATGTGAAAATCACTGCAACTTCAAAAAGTAGGTAGATGTCTACAAGTAGGGAATTGGTTAAATTACTATATGTACATACAATGCAGTCATCAAAAGTAATGCGTTAGCTCTACAGGACGCCCTTTAAATACTAAATGAAATAAAGCCAACTACAGACCAGCTTGCATATGACTAATTTTTTTCTTTTATGAAAACAGCTGTATATGTCCAATTTTATGAACAGTTATATATGTCCAGAAAAATATCTAGAATGTCCCAGCAACCTATCAAAGAGATTTGTACCTTTTGCTTTATACATTCTCTATTACTTGCCTTCTCTTCTCACTATACTACTTTTTTTCAGTCAAAAAATAACTGTAGATATTCTTTAAAATAGCCACAAGAAAAAGAGGACAAGAAGAAAGAGAAAGAGAAGAAGAAAAAAAAGAAAAGAAAACATACCAGCAAGCAGCTGCAGAGAGAAGTTCAATGATCAGAAGAACTATTAAACTCAAAGACACTACCCATGCAGCTTGATTTTACTCTGACACAGCAAACAGCAGCCCTGAAAAGGAAGCCAGACACAACCAAAGATATAAATGGAGTACATCTGACTCTAAAATTCCTATGGAAATGTCAAGAGCTAAGAATAGGTCAAACAATTCTGAAGATGATGAAGGTAGGCAAACCTACAATAGCAGGACTTAAGATAGAGAGGAGACAAGATAGCAGCAGGGGAGGTGGCCACGGAGTACACCTTTCTCCATGGATGCGTCAAGAAAACACATCCAGATACAGAAGATCTTGCGGAACACCAGCTGAGAGCTGGCAGGAGCCCCTGACTACCAGAAAGGAATTTAAATCCAAGCAAAACTCAGTAGAATGAAGGAAGGCAGGGAAAAAGAGGAGAGTGAACAGGACTGTACCTACACCCAAGGAGTGGGGGAGCTGGAGCAGGGGTCGGGTTGACACGCTGGAGCAAGCGCTTGGGACAGAGGGCTGGCATTTGAGGCCGCGGAGAGCACAGCAGCCACCCTGCGACAGTCTGAGTGCAGTGAGGCCCACAAAGCCAATCCATAGCCTGGGAAGGGACAGAGGTCCCCGGGAATGCACGGCGGCTGAGAGCAGGAGTTCATGGGTTAGAGAGCAATCCCAGGGCAAAGTCTTACTGTTGGCTGCAAGGATATGGCCCAAGGGGACATGAGGGAGAAGACTGCTGTGGTGAATGCCTTTGGAAGAAAGTAAGGCAATGATGGAGTCAAGGCAATACTTCTGAGTCATGCACAGGGGGTGGAGCCATCACTATAGCTTCTCTCTCCCCATATTCCAGCACAAGCAGCTGACCAATAAAGACCCCAGAGAGGGTGGCCCTTCAAGTGTCTGACGCAGTAAGCAATAGAGAAGGACCTCTGAACACCAGAAGCTAGAAAAAGACTCTACTAGTGCCATAGTTCCTGCATCTAGGTCTGCTGGTGTCCCCACACACTTGGCACTGCCAGACTCCCCACAATCCAAGCAGCTGTGCCACCTCCATGCTCAACCCTTACTGGGCCAGAGTTTCCAGAGGCCAGAAAAAGTCCTAAGAGTCCCACATCTCCTATGCCTGTGGCTGCCAGATCCCCTCTGTACTTGGCATTAACAGGGTCCCTGCTATCCAAGCAGTCGGGCCGCCTCCATACCTGGTACTCACCGGGGCAGACCCAAGTCCTCCAGGGCAGCCACAGGGGCAAACTCCTGTGGATGACCCACATGCAGCTGTTGTTCAGATGCTAAGTTGTATCTGACTCTTTGCAACCCCATCAAGAACAGCATGCCTTCACTACCTCCCAAGGTTTGCTCAAACTCATGTTCATTGAGTCAATGATGCCATCCACCTATGTCATCCTCTATAGCCCCATTCTCCTCCAGCACTCAGTCTTTCCTAGCATTAGGGTCTTTTCCAATGAGTTGGCTCTTCACATGACATAACCAAAGTATTCCTTGGAGCTTCAGGGTCAGCATCAGTCCTTCCAATGAGCTTCAGTGTTGGTTTCCTTTAGGAATGACTGGTTTGATCTCCTTTCTGTCCAAGGGACTCTCCAGAGTCTTCTCCAGCACCACAGTTTCAAAGCATCAAAAATTAAGGAATCCATCCCATTTACCATTGCAACAAAAAGAGCAAAGTACTTGGGAATAAACCTATTTAAGGAGACAAAAGAGCTGTATACAAAAAAAAATGATAAGACACTGATGAAAGAAATCAAAGACAACATAAACAGATGGAGAGATATTCCATGTTCCTGGGTTGGAAGAAACAATATTGTGAAAATGAACAGACTACCAAAAGCAATCTACAAACTCAATGCAATTGCTATCAAATTAACAAAGGCATTTTTCACAGAGCTAGAACAAAAAACTTCACAGTTTGTATGGAAACACAAGAGACCCCCGAATAGCCAAAGCAATCTTGAGAAAGAAGAATGGGGCTGGAGGAATCAATCTTCCTGACTTTAGACTATACTACAAAGCTACAGTCATCAAGACAGTATGGTACAGGCACAAAAAACAGAAATATACACCTATGCAACAAGACAGAAAGCCCAAAGATAAACCCACACACTTATGGGCACCTTATCCTTGACAAAAGAGGCAAGAAGATACAAAGGCAAAAAGACAGTTTCTTCAATAAGTAGTACTAGGAAAATTGGTCAGCTATGTGTAAAAGAATGAAATTAGACTATTTCCTAACAACATACACAAACTCAAAATGGATTAAAGATTTAAATCTAAGACCACAAACTATCAACTCTTAGAGGAAAACATAGGCAGAACATTCTATGACATATATCACAGCACGATCCTCTACTACACCATGGAAAAATTAGTACATAATGGAAAAAAAATTAACAAGGGAGACCTAATTCAACCTGAAACTTTTTGCATGGGAAAGGAAACTACAAACAAAGTGAAAATACAACCCTCAGAATGGAAGAAAATAATAGCAAATGAAATAATTGACAAAGGATTAATCTCCAAAATATACAAGCAGCTCATGCAGCTCAATACCAGAAACAAACAGCCCAACTGAAAAGTGGGCAGAAGACCTAAACAAACATTTCTCCAAAGAAGACAAAGAGATGGCTAATAAACACACGAAAAGATGCTAAAATCACTCATCATTAGTGAAATGCAAATCAAAACTACAATGAGATATCACCTCACATCAGTCAGAATGGCTATCATCAAAAAAAAAAAAATCTATGAACAATAAATGCTGTAGAGCATGTGGAGAAAAGGGAACCCTCTTGCACTTGTGGGAATGTAACTGATACAGCCACTATGGAGAGTCCTTAAAAAAGTAAGACTAAAACTACCATATGACCCAACAATCCTACTACCAGGCACATATCAAAGACACATGTATCCCAATGTTTACAACAACACTATTCACAACAGCTAGGACATGGAAGCAATCTGATGTCCACCACAGATGAATGGATAAGGAAGCTGTGGAACAGATATACAAAGGACTACTATTCAACCAAAAGAAGGAATGCATCTGAGTCAGTTCTAATGAGGTGGATGGACCTAGAGCCTATTATACAGAGTGAAGTAAGTCAGAAAAACAAATATCATATATTAATGCATATATATGGAATCTAGAAAGATGGTGCTGATGAACTCATTTGTATGGCAGCAATGGAGACGCAGACACACAGAACAGACTTGTGGACACGGGCAGGAGGCAGGGTGGAAGGAGGGAGTGGGACGAATGAAGAGTATCATGGAAACATATACACTACCATATGTAAAACAGACAGCCACTGGGAATTTGCTGTATGTTCAGGGAACTCACACCAGTGCTCTGTGACAATCTGGAGGGTGGGATGGGGTGGGAGCTGAGAGGGAGGTTCAAATATGTATATCTGTGGCTGATTCATGTTGATGTACAGCTGAAACCAACACAATCTTATAAAGCAACTATCCTTCAATTAAAAATAAATAAATTTTTTAAAAAGACTTAACGTAGAGACATCGCTGGTAATCCAATGGTTGAGAATCCTCCTGCTGTTTTGAGGGACACGGGCTCGATTCTAGGTCCAGAAGGATCCCACATGTCACATGGCAACTAAGCCTGTGCACCGCAACCACTGAAGCCTGTGTGCCCTAGAGCCCATGCTCCTCAACAAAAGAGCCTCCAAAATGAAAATCCAGAACAGCTGCCACTTGCCAACTGGACAAAGCCCATGAGCAGCAATGAAGATTCAGTGCAACAAAAATAATAATTTTTTTTAAAGAAAAAGACTCAATATGGTAATAAACAGTGTGGTACAGATGCCAAAGACATAGAAAACACCAATATACAGCAGGGAAACAGAGATAAATCCTGTAAAATTTGATACCTAATAGAAGTCATACCACAAAACAGTGCAGAAATAATGTATTAGTCAATAACTGAAGCTGAGATAACTGGTTAACCAGATGGAATAATTAAACTAGATTT